GTATTATGAGATGTATTCATCCTATTTCGTTTAAGGTGATGAAGGACTGGTAGTAGAATTTTCACACAATGCTATGAGTAAAGCTGACGTTTCCATTGAACGAAATAGGGTGAATACATCTCATATTACTGATTTACTGGTAGTCTCGAAACTTTACTTAAATACTGAAAATAAGTAACGTAGTCGATTGTTATAGCAAATATACGTTTGCTTCATCGACAATCCCACCAAAGAATATGATATTGCAAAAGGCCTGGCCTTGCTTGAAATGCACATCTGCCCTGTGACCCAAGGGAACTCGTGGCAATGTGGTCGAGCGGTTAACGTGTCAAGGTCACATTCTTTACTGTCATGATTCAATTCCCGCTGGGGGTGTTGATAAGACCTATGCGAGGTCAAATCTGCAGTCAAGCCTGGCTGAGAACAACTTTTGGGAAAGTAAAGCTATGTAGAATTAAGTGGAAACGTCAGCTCTAATCATATCATTGTTGAAAAATTCTACTACCAGTCATTCATCACCTTAAACAATATAGGGTGAATACATCTCATATTACTTATTTTTAATTTTAAGTAGAACGCAAGGCTATGTAAAATTCAATGGAAACGTCAGTTCTACTCCTTCCATCGTGGTAAAATTCTACTACCAGTCCTTCATCACCTTAAAAGAAATAGGGTGAATACACCTCATATGACTAAATTTAGTCAAAAAATTTATTCCTCCGTCCCGAAGGATGGCATAACAACTCATTAAAAGAGGGTTAAATGTCTGTTAATCAATGGGCACTCTATATTTCGCATACAATCTTTGGGATAAGTGACTTGGAAAAGGAGGAAGAGCCGAAAAGTAACGTGCAAAATGGTGAAACAAATTGCCTGAGGGTTTAGTCCTGGAAAGGAGTTAGTTGCTCTGACTGCCTCATTCTCCGTTATCTGTAATAGGGATGTCTTAGAAACTAGTTAATTTGCTATAGTTTAGATTAACACTCAGGAAAGAGTGATTTCTTCCCTTGTCGTGAATTTAATTTACAAATGCTGGATCGCGAGCTGTGACCACACCGGCCCCAGAACTTGCTGGATAAGAGTGTGTTCTGATAATGGGCGGGCCTTTTGCATACTTATGGACTATGAAATGGGCCACGTCATAACAATCTAAAGTAAATTTTCGCTATTTCACACACACACACAAACTGAAATATGCACCCCAAATGCCTTCTTTAAGGATAAGGTGAACTTTTTCTGGGGTACTTTATCTTTCCAGCCGTTATACCTTCCAAGCCCTGATGACTCTTCCACTAGCCTCCCTGAAGGACTATCGATCACTAGGCTCATCTTCGGCCACTTTTATTCTCTTTTTGCCCTAATTGTGGTCCGTCAGGAGGCGTTGCTTGCCCGAAGAGGTACGGCTAAATGGGAAACTACCCACTTAGTCTGGCTTAAGAATGGCTTAATGTTGAATGGAAGCGGGCTAATTTGGCTCCCAAGCTCGTGAGACCTATTTTCTTGTCGATGAGAAATAATGATGCGTTATTTCGACATTAAAGTGGATAGCTTTTATGGATGCTTTGAGTTCAGCCAAACCCGTGCATAGTGTCGAGTCATCAAAGGCACATTCAATGAAGACATTTGAGAACATGGCTCGGGCTAGCTGGAAAAAGAAGTATCTCTTCATCAAGACCACTCGTAGAGGGGTTGAAAAATGTGCTTGATTATCATAAGACTGGGTGAGACTCTGTCGCAAGTCAAGTCCAAACAGGGTCTACATTATCGTGAACGTGTGTGGTCATTCCGATGCAGCCTGTATGGTGGAGGCTTTGAGAGCTTTTAACAAAGTTTGTACCAAAGACATGTTCTGCAAAATGTGTGGCGAAAAGATGCATGATGTGAAGTGTCTTCTACAGTATTTGGCAACTAGCAAAGCAGAAGCGGGGGTTCGGGCTGTGAGCCCGTTAGATGCTATCCACGAAGACCTGGAGGGCCGTCCACAGTTGCTTGCCAACCGGACGAATGTAGGCCGCCGGCAGAACGAAACCGTGTCTGCCTTGGTCGGCGAGTTCAATGGTGTAGGAGTAGTCCACATTCAGTTCTCCGGACACATAATCATCGGAGCCGCCAGGGGCTTCGTCTTAATAAAAGAGGGCAAGTTGAACAGTTACTCAAGAGTAGACAAAATGAGGAAAAAATTTCTGCATCAACTATCATCGAAGTGTCGGTTTTACTGCTGCCGTTATAACAATGACTTTGCTAAAGAAAGCATTTCATCAAGACTTCTAGTCAGCCTAGATGAGCATGAAAATGATTAAAATAGTAGGGTTGGGGAGACTTTCATTTCGTATGAAAGTGCATGAAAGAAAAAGATTCGAAGTGGATAACACCAGTTGTACGTTGATATTATTTTCAGATGTACGAAGTTCACGAGACATTCTTCCTCGTTTTGGGGTGAAAATGGGCTGAGCTTTCGTCCATGATATGACGGACATCATCTGATCTGGAATTCACTATTGCAAAAGTCTCAAATTAACAGCAGATATATCTCACGTCCTATAGATGTTAGTAACTAAAAATGGAGATATTTGAGATATATAGATAGACATAAAATGATTTGGCCAATTCATTTTCATATTGGTTGTGGTAATTGTACTTGAATGCAATACTACCACAAGTAGGCAGATATGAATTTAAAAGAAGACCAGACGTTTTGCATATCACATTTTAATAATTTTATGGTCGTTGGGGTAGACTTCCGCTTCCTTCTATAAGCAGGCTTTCTAGGCTACCAGTAGATCTTGTATACAAAAGCCCTATTCACCCCATTTCATAGAAGGCGATGACAGACTAACTTTTACCATTTTTGACGAAATCGAGGGAGTGGATCTCTCATATACAAGACCTGTTGGTAGCCTCGAAAGCCAACTGATAAATAGAAAATAAGTAGTGTAGTTGATTGTAATAGAAAATATAACTTTACATAACTGACAATCCCCCCAAAGCAATGTGATATGAGAAAGGCCTAAGCTTCGTTGAAATTCACTTCTGTCATGCGGCCCGAGGGCACTCTTGATTTTGAGGCCTAATGGTTAAATTGTCGAGATTATACAATTTACTCCCACAATTCGAATTCGAGTTTCGATGGGGCGCTGATGGGACTAGTTCGTGCGAGGTCGAAACTGCAGTCCAGTCCAACCTGGATAAGAATACCTTTAGTTAAGCGAAGCAATTTGTAATTCCAGTGAAAAAATTCCACTTCCAGTCTCTTACTACTTTAATACCATTATAATCGACTATACTACTTATATTCGCAGAAAGTAAGTAGGTCTGCTTAGCAGGTTGGCTTGGTATTAACGTGTCAAAATGTGAATTTCAAGGCAAGCCATGCCTCTCCCAAATCACATTTATAATGAGAGTGTGGATGATTAAAACACTTATTCCTCATATGAAGAAAAACTGTGATTAGAAGAATTCCTTAATAATATATTGCGGCATGACTTACCATATCGAAGGAACCGATGATTGAAAGGAATTCGTAAATTGTCTCACCAAAAACCGAAGTAGGATTGCTGCGAATTGAAGACTGTTGGATTGTGCGAAGAAGTCCTCGGATCACCGTCTTATGGCATCGATGAATCATCCTTTGCAGCCGGCTACCTTTTCTCGTGATTTAGTATATGTTTGCGCTATTGTGCATATGTTACGGCGGTGCAGACGAAAGCTTAGTACAGGTTCGTTGGGGTTGCAGAACGGTAGGCTAAGGATATCTTTGCACAATCCAACAGTCTTCATTCCGCGACAATCTTCATTCGGTTTTAGGTGAGATCGTTTCAAGAATACCTTCCCCCCAACCTTTCCTTCGAAATAGAAAGTGATGCCACAACTTATTATTACGACCGACGTCGTTACTTGTTTCGAAATTTAGTATGTATGTATATATATATATATACTTGTGTGTGTGTGTGCTTGTTTGGGCTATGTAATCGAGCTATGCCCCAACGATACACACAACCAGGGTTAGATTCCCACTGGGGATGATGATGATATTTAGGCCAAGTTAAAACGGCAGTCTATTCCAGCCGGTAGGAGAATTCCTTTTGGGATGCAGGGCTAAGTGATACTTGAGATCTACAATTAATGTTGTAAGAAAATTTAGCTATCTACCTTCATATACTGATATGCTAGACTATGAGTTCGGTTCTCTTCATTCCCCCAGAGGGGTA